CCCCGGCCCAGCCCAGGTCAGAGGCAGAAACTCGTGGGTACTGCAGCCTGGGGGACCATGCTCCTTGCAGACAAAATCTGCATGTGGGGCGACCCAGCAGACACGAGCCGGGGAATCCCTAAGCGATGGGGAACAGCCAGGCCAGAGGCTTTCCCGGGGTGTCTGTGGGGAAGGCAAGGCAGCCGGGGAGCGGCCGCTGTGGATGGTTCTGGCTGGCGCTGGGACATGGGGGCTGGAACCTGGTACTGTGTAGATTAAGGGCAGGAGCCCTTTATTCTCTCTCGGAATTGGCTATCCTGGGAGGGGCAGTGAGAACAGTGATGCCACAGCCTCAAGAATGCAGGACTAGGGAAGCAGTCAGTGCAGTCGGCCTTGTGCTGGACACATCCCAAAGCGTCCAGACGACACAGTCTCAGCCCAGGTCCCCGTCACTCCCCTCTGCCTCCCCGCCCGGGCCCCCACACTCAGGATGCTCCCATGCTGCCCTGGCCCTCCCATCAGAGCCATGGCGCGGGTTAGGCCAGTACTTTCCCAGCCTCCGATCTCTTGCAGGGCTGGGATGCTTTCCCGGGGATGCCGTCCACTCCTGCCGGTCCACCTGCCAGGGTTCCTGAGCTGCTGAGGGCTCCAACTCCTCGGAAAAGGCTGACCAAGAAGCCGCAGGGGCTGCACTCTGCCCAGAGCCCGCTGGGCAGCCCCTGGCACCGCCTCGTTCTTGCTCCCTGCGCCTGGCTCACACCTGGCCTTGATTCACACCCCTTGATGCCATGGCTCATGACAGTCCATCACCTGCATCTCCTCCCAGCTCCATCACAGTAGTCAGCAAGCACCACCCACCAGGGCTGGACCCTGCCCAGAGCTGGTGGTTCTATGAGTCTCAGAGGCAGGAGCATCTCCACAAGCTGTAGACAAAGTGCTGGATCCATGCTTCCCTCACTACGCAGAGAAAACTGCCTTCTCCGTCCCCGTGCTCAGCTCCCCACGCAGGGCCACGCTCCAGGGACCCTCAAGGTCCAGACGGAAAGCCCCCCGCTCCCTGCAGCCGTCTCAGAGAGCCCAGGCTGGAATGCATCCCTTCTTCTGCACTGCTTCGCTCTTCGGTTTCTGCGCTCGTGGCCGCTGTGTTCCATGCCATGGCTGTGCTTGGACCCAAGCCCTCAGGCAAGAGGAATATTGGCCTGTATCACCCTGGCAACGTCTCAAGCACCTAAGATGCAGTGGCCCTGAGGTTCCCACCCTTTAATGAGCAGAAAATCGCTTCCGGATGGCCGGCGCCGCGGCTCACTAGGCTAATCCTCTGCCTAGTGGCGCCGGCACACCGGGTTCTAGTCCAGGTTGGGGCGCCGGATTCTGTCCCAGTTGCCCCTCTTCCAGGCCAGCCCTCTGCTGTGGCCAGAGAGTGCAGTGGAGGATGGCCCAGGTGCTTGGGCCCTGCACCCCATGGGAGACCAGGAAAAGCACCTGGCTCCTGGCTCCTGCCATCGGATCAGCGCGGTGCGCCGGCCACAGCGTGCTGGCCGCGGCGGCCATTGGAGGGTGAACCAACGGCAAAGGAAGACCTTTCTCTCTGTCTCTCTCTCTCTCACTGTCCACTCTGCCTGTCAAAAAAAAAATCGCTTCCGGAGATGGCCAGACTTGTAGCCACCCAGCCCATTGCCAGAGATCCCGATCCATTCATTATGGGGTGCAGCCCGGAGAGAGGATGGCATGGGAGCTACGCCGTGACCTACCCACCCATCCTGCAGCGTGGCGGTGCCTACGGAGCTAACACGGGAGGACTTTGAGACTCCACGGAGTCAAGTCGCTTGTGCAAAGTCACACAGCTGGAGAGTGCTAAAGCCAGGCTGAGACCCAGTTCCAGACAGCTGTGTACTTCCCCTGTGCGTGCGCTCCGGGTGAGGGAGGACACAGCACCATGCACACACACAGGGCCAGGCTCTGCATTCCGTAAAGGAGACAAAGGGTTCAGGAACAAGTGCCCGGGCGCACACATTCAAACAGCCGTCTCCCCGGGAATCCCACCAGGCAGCCCTCCTGTGCCCAGCCTACTTCTCTGCCGCTGTGGGAAAGCGTCAGGCTGACTGCCAGATGTTGCCAGCATCCCCTCTGCCGAAGGGTCTGAGGCTCGGGGCCGAGTCTGCCTTCCTGCTCCACAGGTCCCCAGCAAGCTAGCTTTGACAAGGGCCCAGATGGGGGCCAGGTGTGGGAATGAATGAAGCCCTGCCCCCCCCATAACTGAGAAACAGGAGGGCTGTCCCTTCAGAGCTTTCCTCAAAGGCGGGCAGGGGAGTGGCAAAGCTTGTGGGTACAGAGAGGCAAGGAAGGCTTCCTGTACACCCCCACTGGAGGCATCGGCATGGGGGAAAGGCGCCGGGCATCCCACGTGATTGGTTAGGGGAGTGGGTTTGGGAAGGGGGACACAGAGCAGCGAAGCTGGCTGTTATCGATACATCCCAGCTATGTGGGGCCCAGCGTGCCAGGGGATGCAGTTTGGCTTTGTCACCTCTGGGTCCATGTTTGGGCTTCACGTTTAGTCCAGCCGTGTTACCCATTTGTCCTTTCAATCTCAAAGTGGACTCCATTCCCAGCACACGTCACCTTGGCTGTTCAGCCCTGTCCTTGCTGCCTGCAGAACAACCCAATGTCACGGCTGCCATGGAGTGTGAAATGCGCCCTCCGCGCTGCCCCCAGGTCCCATGTCCAGGGGGAGACAGCTGAGCAGAGCTTGAGCAAAGCTGCCTCTTCCTGGGGACTCTGGAAGGCAGCTCTGTTCAAGCTGTCATCAGAGACATCTGTGGACATCTTCTGTGTCACCGAGACCCCGCGTCACCTGCGCCTCACCCCGTTTCCTCCAATACTGTCAGACGCCCCAACAGTCCCTGACCTTGCTGTTTCATTCATGGGCCTCAGAGCAGGGAGGTTTTGCAGGAAGGGTCTCCCGACACCACTGACGGCAGAATCAACAGGTTCTGAGGGCCTTTCTGCCCTCCCAGTTCTTTTCACAGGCTGTGTTGTTCATCTAAAGAACCGGAAATCATCCTTAAACTGCCCACTCACTGCCCATGTTCAGTTCCGTTGTCCCCTAAGTCCTGTTGATTCTGCCTCTAAGATCTTTGTTGATCTTGTCCAACTCCCAGTTCTTTTTACTCACCACCCCAACGTAATCCCAGCCTGCACCGTCTCTCTCCTGACTGCAAAACCTCCCTGCAGTCTCTCAGTTTAAATACATCCAAAGCCACCAAAGGTTGCTTAAATAAGAATTACAAGGGGTGCGGTTTTTTCTTTTTTGAAGATTTATTTATTTATTTGAAGGCAGAGGCAGAGAGAGAGAGAGAAGAGAGAGACAGGTCTTACATCCACTGGCTCACTCCCCAGATGGCCACAGCACCTGCCTGGGGGAACCCGTGGCTTGTTGAAGACTCAACCCTTCTGCAGGTGAGGAGGTTCTGCACCTGCCATCCTGGCCTCTCCAGCTGACCTTCTTGTCCCTGCCCACCTGCCATTAACCATGTACCAGCCCCACTGGTCTTCCTTCAGATCCCAGAACCCCCATGTTCCTTTCTGCCACGAGGCCTCCTCCTCCACCCATCCCACGGCCTGAAACACCATCTCCCATACCTGGCCTGCTGTTCACCTGTCAGGTTTCAGCCTAAACAGTGTTCTCTGAGTACGTAGCCTCAAAAACAAACCCAAAGAGCATCTTTCTCTTACATGTTTTCAAAGCACTCTAAACTTCCTTTTATTGCTTATCACAATTTATAATACTCATGTTTGCTGCTCCATTTAATAGCTGTATCCCTTTGAGCAGCACTGATTTTTTTTCAACACTGTATCATCACTTAAGTCACACTTAATAAAAATACTAACAGTTAACATTTACTACATACTTGCAATGTATAATGAATACTGAATGCTACAAGGTTTTATCATCAACATTTAACAGATATTTACAGAGCAATGAATTCGTGCCAGGAATGACAACAGGTGCTGGGGACAGATCAGTGACCAAAGTCACCACTTCTGTGGACCTGACATTGGCATGAGGGAGACAGACAACGAACAAGATAAAGAAGGAAATTATATGGTACACTGTAAGGTGCTAAGTGCCAACAAGAGAGATAACACAAGGACAGGGTAGAGTAAGCTACTGGGGATCAGATTTTCCCTATTTTCAGAGACAAGAAAACTAAAATAGAAGAAACCAACCCATTCCGAACTGGACCCCTTGGTCACTTAGTGGCAGCTTCAAGATTTAAACCAGGTTCTGACACCATGCGCCTAACCATTAAGCCATCCTGCTCCCAACATAAAATAAGATCTGATGGAGCAAGGAATGAAAGAATGAACCCAGGGTTACCTGTTCTATTCAGAGACCTCATCATTCACATTTCAAGGGATCTGAGAGAGAAACAGAGGGACAGAGATATCTTCCACCCAATGGTGTAACAGCTGGAATGGGGCCAGGCCAAAGTCAGAAACCTGGAACTCCATCCAAGTCTCCCACATGGGTGGCAGAGAGTCAAGTACTGGGCCATCATCTGGTGCCTCCTAGGATGGATTAGCAAGAAACAGAGCAACCAGGACGTGGACTGACACTGTAATAGGGGACATGGCCATGCCAAGCAGCGACTTAGCCCACTGTGCCACACGCCTGTCCCAATCACTTAACCACTGTAGTTTAGACAACTGGTTCTCCAAGTCTGCTTCAGAGAAACCTGAGGTCCACAGGGACCCTAGGAAAGTAGGAGCTGGCAGCCAAGGACACAGGACTGCCAGCTCTTCTCCTGCCTCCAGCCGGAACAGCTTTCCATCTATCTGTCTAATATTTTAGGACCCTAGGTGATGTGTCTATTTAAGAAAAGGCAAATAATTGAAAATTTCTGTCCTAGACAAACTACAATAGAGGCAATTAGCAAGGCCAGCAATGGCAGATGTAGCTATTCTGACCCCCTCGTTCTACCGAGGTGGGAACTGAGATTGAGAACAGTGACACGACTTACCTAGAGTCACGTGGCCAGGGGCAGGCACCCTTTCATCTGCACCACCACTGCTGACAGTCAATCAAATGAGAGAGAGAGCAGGGCTGGCACTGACTCCACGGGGGCCTCTATGAAGCTGGCATGGTCAGGGTGGCATTGGTTAATGATCATTGTTTCTACTTCCTCTTCGTCTGGTCATGGGCTGGGCTTTATTTCCCAATGCTCTTGGCATTTATAGTTCCCAGAATCCTTTGAGATTAGGTATGACCTTGTGATTGAGTCCTTTTTTTTGTTTGTTTGGGTTTTTTTTCCACTTATTTGAGCCGCAGAGAAAGAGAGAGTTCTCCTCTTCTGATTCATGTCCCAGATGCCCACAATGGCCATGCCTCCGCCAATCCTAAACCAGGATCCAGAAAGTCAATCCAGGACTCCCACATGAGTGGAAGGAAGAGAATTACTTGAGCTATCACTGCCGCCTCCCAGGGTGCAGGTTAGCAGGAAGCTGGAATCAGGAGCCGGAGCCAGGAACGAAACCCGGTGCTCCAATACGGGACACAGGCTTGGCGTCGTAACCACAAGGTCACATACTGCTCTGGGGTTGAGTTCTTGCTGCTAGAACATGAGTGGAGGTGACAAGCATCTTGTTCAGACCAGAAAGATCTCTTCAAAATGATGGGTTGTGATTGCATCAGAGCCTAGCGGGGGGGGGAAGAAAAAACAGTGAAAATATACTGGCTGAAGGTCAGCCTTTAGAATCAGAACTAAATTTCAGTTCCTGCTTTACCACTCAAAAAAGGTGACTCTGAAAAGTCTTTTAACACATTAATTTTCCTCACACAGATACTAACAAACCCCACAGGGAGGGAATCCATTATTTTAATGAAGACTTGGATACCGACAACAGAATCTATTCTAGCTAAGGAATTCATTACGGAGAACAGAAAACTTACAGAAATCGCATCTGAGCTGGACTTCCTGGAACAACTGCCAAAGCCGCCCTGCACAATGGGGCCACCTGGGGAGCTGTTCTTCTGCTCAGTCAGGAAACCACGGGGTCAGGAAGCTGCCACTGCCATTGCCAGCTCCAGTCCGGGCCTCCTGCACCCTGTGCCAGGAAAACGAATGCCTTGCACCCAGCCTCTGATAACTCAGTTCCAAATCAAAGTCTCACACGAGTTCATCTCGTGCGTGGAACCTGTATCCCATCTGGGAACCAATTGTTACGGGTATGAAGAATGTGCAGCTTTCCAGTCTTTGCCTTACAGGAAGGTACCTTAGAAAGAGGTTGGGAGGCAAGCTCTTAGCCTAGTGGTTAACGCGTCAGAAAACCTGAGCTTGGTTTTGTGGCTCTGGTTCCGGGCTCCAGCTTCCTGCTCATGCGGATACTGGAAAGCAGTGATGATGGCTCAAGGAGTTGGGGACCTGCCACCCACGTGAGAGACCTGCATTGAGTTTCTGCCTCTTGGCTCCAGCCCTAGCCCGGCCCCAGCCACTGCAGGCATTTGGAGAATAAACCAGCAGATGGAAGTTCTGTCTATCTTTCTGCTTCTCAAAATATAATTAAAAAAGAGAGAGAGAGAGATTGGAAAGTGTCAAGTGAGACAATATCTCTATGGAAAACACAGATTTCGGTCTCCAGCACATATGTTTGCACTGGAGTTAGCATAGCTTAGCTGTTAATTCCTGAAATTCTGAGCCACACTGTCTAGGTTCAAACTCCTGGTCTACCACTATCAACTGTGTTACCCTAGCAAGCTACATTTTAGCTTCCATACCATACAGTTAGACTTGTCTCCACTAACTTTTCATACAAACGGCTGATTACAATAGGTCTTATACCTCAGGGGCTTGCTGGGAGTAAATAAATGATGCGTTCAGAGAAACGCGTGGTGGTGGAACTTCAGTGAACTGAGTTAACCGTAGCTGCTTCCAGCCCACCACTTGTCCTGGCAGTTAGTGCGTCTAATAGGGGCCTCTGTAACAGGTGGGCATGCAAACTGCACACTCTGCAGTCAACTCTGTCTCTTGTTGGGCATCTACCAAGTCAAATAACCTGAACACGAAAAGTTGCTTTGCTCATGGCATTGCATTGGTTCTCACAACGTCCCTTTGGAGATTTTTGTGACTATCCCCAATGTACATGTTAGGAAACTGAGACTTGGGGATGTTAAGGGCTTGTTAATGTGGCTTGTTAGTGCCACCTTTGAAGGCAGCTCTCTACTGATGACTGTAACTTAACTTGCTGCACCACAGTGCCAGCTCCTGCTCATTTTTCTGGATTCTTTTTTTTCCCTCTGATCTTCAGATTGTATAAACTCTATCAATCTATATTTATGAATTCATTATCCTTTCTAGCTGAAATCTACTGTTGATACCGGCTAGTGAATTATTTCATTTAGATAAAAGTACTTCTCAATTCTAAAGATTCTATCTGATTCCTTTTTAAGTTATTTCTGGGGCCGGCATTGTGTCACAGTGGATTAAACCACAGCCAGCAATACCAGTATCCCATTTGAGCAGTGGTTCAAGTTCTGGCAGCTCCATTTCCTATCAAGCTCCCTGAAAATGCACCTGGGAAAGCAGCAGAAGATGGCCCAAGTACTTGAGCCCCTGCCACCCACATGGAAGACCTGGATGAATCTCCCCTGGCTTCTGGCTTTGACCTGGACCAACTCTGGTTATTGTGACCAATTGGGGAGTGAATCAGTAGATTTAAGATATTCTTGTGTGTGTGTGTGTGTGTGTGTGTGTGTGAATGTAACTCTGCCTTTCAAACAAATGAATCATTTTTTTTTAATTATTTCTATCTCATCCTTGACTACTTTTTGAGAAGTCACCATCATCAAACTGCCTCTTAATTTTTTAAACATTGTTTCCTTTACATCTAGGAGTGTATTTCTAACAGCTACTTGAAAGTTTTATCTGCTAAGCCCAACATCTAGGCCCCTTCAAAGGCTTTCCAGGGCCTACTTTTCTCCCCTCATATATGGTCACACTTCCCTATTTCTTTGAATGTCTAATAATTAAGCACTTAAAGCTGGACATTTAGGAAAATATGACAATTCAGGGTTCTGATTTCCCTCTCTCCTTCAGGACATGTTTGCTTATTTGCTTGTATTTGATTGTTGAGGTAGTTAGGCTGATCCAGTGAAGTACAGTCTCTGGTGTTGCTCTTTAAAAAGAACAATCTTAAGAATGCTATATCTTGGGGCTGGTACTGTGGTGTAACAGGTTAAAGCCCCAGCCTGCAGCTCCAGCATCCCATATGGGCCAGTTTGAGTCCCGGCTGCTCCACTTCCAGTCCAGCTCCCTGGTAATGCAGCTGGGAAAGCAGCAGGAGGTGGCCCAAGTCCTTGGGCCCCTGTACCCACTGTACCCACTGTACCCACTGTAACTCTGTCTTTCAAATAAATTAATTAAATCTTTAAAAAAGAGAAAAAGAATGCTACACCTTGATCACCAGAAATAGCTGTGGTATTATCCGGGCCCTCTTTGTCTCTTTCCCTGACCTCCCTGTTAAACACATGGTTGGTCTGTATCCATTGGTATCACTCTCAGTTTTTGGCCTCCACAAATTGCTAGCCAATTGTTCTATTCTTTTCATGGACCCCCTGAGACATAAACCATTTTAGTATGATTTAATTGAAGTTAAGACTCTTGGCAAGGGCGAGATGCTGCCAGTCTTTGAAGCTTGCTTCCTTCCTCCACTGAGAAGAACCTCTGCCCTACGGAGTTGGGGGTGCAATGGGAGTTAAAGAACTCCCTCTTCGCCAGATGCCTCGGCTTGATCCTGCCTGTGGTGCAGCAGTAGTGGGGTATAGCCATCCAGCTGCTGCCCACACTGAATATTAATTTTCTATGGCTGAGAGCCAGGGAGGGGGAGATCTGCCAATGTTCACTGGCTTCCAGATCTACTCAGAAGAGAGTTCTGTCTGAGGACACTGTGTGTGTGTGTGCATGTGTGTGTGTGTGTGTGTTACCACTTGGCTTCTGAGTTGCCTGGAACAACTCTCACACAGAACAGCTACCGTGATGAAATGGAGAGTAGAGTCTTCACCAGCTGCCCCCCTTAGATCCTCCCTATGTAGCAGGAGCTGGGGCAATACCCAGCTGCCACCATTCATTCAACGTCAGCGTTCCACAGCCCAGGACTGTGGAAAATGAGATATGTGGATGTGAACCAGCTGCAGAAACCACTTGGAGCAGCTCTTCCTTCCCAGGGAGCTGGGAGAGAGGTCAACCGCCAGTTGGATGCAGAACTTGGTGAAACGGGTCACCTGCAAGGCAGAGCTCTCGGGGTATGGATGTAATCCTAACTAGAACGTCTGGCCTCCTACCATTCTTACGGAGTTTCCATGCATTTTGTTAAATAAATGTTTCTTAATTTACTGTAAGCTCTATGATCAATCTCTAAGGATTTTGAGTGATTGTCTTTGGTAATTTTGGCCAGATTAATAGAGATCTCTTGAGGAGAGAGATTTTCTCAAGCTCTTGATACACCATTATAGAGTGTCCCCTAAAATGTTTTATTATCTGATGGTGCAAATGTCTCGCATCTTCTTTTAAACTATGTTCACCTTTATAAATTGCAAAGAATTTTAGGACCTCTTTATCAAAAGGGAGAACATTCTATATGCGAAAACAATGAAAACCCATGAAGCAAAAGACTAATACAGTTGACTGCATTACAATTTTGCCTTTTGGGGCTGGCATTGTGGTATAGTGAGTTAAGAGGCTGCCTACAATGCCAGCATCTCATATGGGCACCAGTTCGTGTCCCAGCTGCTCCACTTCCAATCCAGCTCTCTGCTAACTGCCTGGGAAGGCAATGGAAGATGGCCCCAGTGCACGGGTCCCTGCTACCCACGTAGGAGACCAAGATGAAGCTCCTGGCTCCTGGATTCAGCCTGGCCCAGTCCTGACTGTTGCAACCATTTGAGGAGTGAACTAGCAGATGGACGATACCCACCCTCTGTGTGTGTGTGTGTGTGTGTGTGTGTGTGTGTCTTTCCCTCTCCCTAACTCTGCCTTTCAAATAAATAAAACTTTAAATGCTTTTGACTTTTATATGTCAAAGCATGTAAACAAAATTAAAAGGTAAGTGACAAAGTGAGATAGTTATTTGTATGATATTCAAATAAAATGTGTTTAATATTTATAGTAATTTAAGAAATCAGTAAGAAACACTAATAGTGCAGAAGAATAATGAATGGAATAAATCAAGGTCATAAACAGGCAAGTCGCAAGAGAATGATCATGATGATGAGCATATAAAGACATAAATTGCAATACAAACAAGGAAATACAAATGGCAAAACATGAAGATACCACCTCTGCCTACGAAACTGACAAAGATTCCTTTCCAAGTTAATATCCATGCTGGCAATGATGTAGTAAGATGACCCTATTCTGTTGGGGCAGTGAGGGCTTCTCCAAGTAGACCTCAACAAGTGGGCGGAGTGAGGACACAAGAAGCCCTGGAGTTAGGACACAACCTCGGTGTGACTCCTGACTCTGGTAGCGTGTACCTTCGGTCATGCGTCTTAACTACTGTAATACCCAGGCTTGACATCTGTAATAGGGATGCCAAATGCGAAATGGGATAGCAGTGTGTACTATTGTGGAGAGAGAGATGGACCTGCGAACCTCATGGCCACATGTCTAGCACATAAACAAGGCTCAACAACACCAGGCT